AGTATTATATTAATATTATTGTCTGGTATTACAGGATTCATATAAGTCCTAACCACTGTTTGTGATTAGGACTTATATGAATAGTTAGGGGGGGGGGCTTGGACCCACTAGCCGCCGCACTGTCTGCTACAATACTAGAGCAAGTGGTACAAAAGTACAATTGAAAATAGTTAAATACCCTTCCCGCACACACACACCCACCCCACCCCACCCACCCACCCCCACTCCCTAACCCTCTAAAAAAAAATTCCTAAATGTTATTAAAAGCTCTTGTACACTTTAAATATTAGTATCCAATAGTTCTCTATAGTATATCCCTAGCGCTATATTCATATAGCGCTAGGGATATATTATAGAGAACTATTGATTAGATAATATATTCACAAATATAATGGACCTCAATATTAACAAAAAGGTAATACAAATTTTTGACATAAAGAATAACATTTCTAAGAATGTTAAACTGATAACTTACCTTAAATTCTCCGGCAGTAAGTTGTGGAAGTAGAAGCGAAGCAAATATGATTAAGAAAACCATTTTTTCTTTGGTTCTATTCAGTTATCAGAGCGTATTAATAATATTTTCCGAACGTTTTTCTGAAATAAATGACTTTTATGTCATATAAATATTGATTGAAAGTTAATATGAGCTTTCCTTGTATCTATATTAGTTAGTTAACGTTTTTGTAACCGCGGTATTTATGCTGTTAGATTCTACGTGATAAACTTGTGATGGTCAACAAAAATCTGATGCAAGAACATCATTTTTTTTTTACATCAGCTGTTTTGAACACGTTTTTGAGATTATTCTTACATGCTTCATTTATATGTAAATCTATGAAAAGGTTGGTTAAGCAAATATTGATTAAGTTTACGAGTTTATTTGCGCCCCTCTTTACAAAAGTTGTTTTATTTTTAAATAAAATATTATTTTCCTTCTAACTTATTTGTGTGTTTTTAATATAAAAAGTATAACTTAAGAGTTTAACAAATAATTAAAAAATAATTTCTTTTCAAAATAAACTTGTGCATTATAATTCTTTATAGTAAATTGTTTTCAGTTGTGTCAAGAAAGTTTGTTATTAACGATAGCATCAGAAACAATCGTCAATGAGTTGCAAATATTATTACTTCGACAGACTTCAACATAAACGTTCACAACAAGCTTAAAGTTAAAGGAAAGATTTCTATGGGCTAGTAGCCTAGAGCTACATCTCTTTTTTTATTATTATGATCTAGGAAATTGATTCCTTACTTAATTACCGAAAAACTTTTGTTTAAGTACCTGTCTTGAATTATTTGGGTTATCCGTTAGCTAATTTTTAAGATATTTTGCGTAGAAATGTACAAAAAATATGATGCTTTAAAAAATACAATAAAATTAAAAATTAAACTAAAGTTGATTTCAAATTCTTTTTCCGGTTTTGATTATATTTAAAGTAAATTAGTTATAAAAAACAAACAAATAAAAAACTGTGATGTTTGTGATTTCGTACAGGTGTTTGATTACAAGACCGGTTTATATCTACTATATAAAAATCATATAGAGTTTAAAATGTAATTCAAGCAGAAACGTTGCCACCATATACTTTACCTCATACACTAGCGACGCCTCTCCTTATAGCAAAAATCTTACCTACCTGCAGCAATATCATCTTGCATGCCAATCAAAACTCATATTCAGTCTATACATAGAGCAGTTTTTAGAAAACCCGCTGACGTTTTATATTGTTTCAAGGCAAGTTTGTACGAGGACAAGCTGAGAAAAGCGGTACCATATAAACATCGGCAATAAAATTTTTTTTTAAAGTTTATCAAAATTAGCATAAAAAGAACCTGAAAAAAATAGTAAACGCTTAACAAGATATAAAAGGTGCACTGATAGTAATTCAAGAATAATGTACTGATAGTAATTCAAGAATAATGTACTGATAGTAATTTAATAATAATGCACTGATAATTCAAAACTAGTATAGTAATACTCAGGTTGAAATTGAGAACAACAAGACTTTGCTAAATAATAAATCCTAATAACTTTATCAGCTGGTGTTACTTAATTGACAAGCATGCATAAGCTGCTATAATTGGTATTGCCTAAAATGTTTAGATAAGTTGGTAAAAATAATAACCGATTTTTTTTTTTTAATTTTATTTTTAAGGTGCGTTTTACAGCAACATCTTTTACAATAACTAATTCCAACAAATCATGACAATTCCACATAAAATCAAAAAAACTTTTATGTAAATTCTACTTTATATATATTTAATATTTGATTTAATATAAAACGTATTTCTTTTTTCTACATTAACATTACCAAGTGAGAAAAGTCATAAAGGGGTGTTAGCAGCGCGCCGACGCTGGTTAAACATCGATGGACTAAAAGTGAGCTTTGTACGGGGCACCAAAATTAGCACACCAATAATTTGACAATGTCAGTATACCTAATTTGAGCTGACAAGTCGAAGGCATAGCATACATACATACACCGGGACAGTTTGTCCCGGGCGGCAGATATCTAAGGGGCGCCAAATGAAATTTAGGTGTCCAAAAAAAAAAAAAAAAAAAAAAGGTCCTTCATATATAATAAAGGAAAAATTTGATTAATAAGGGCGCCCATCAGGATTTGGTGTCCCAGACGGCGTGACAGCTCTCGGCGGCCCTGTGTATATATATATATATATATATATATATATATATATATATATTTATATATATATATATATATATATATATTATTAATTGTAAAATCAAAGAAAATAAATAGTATTATATTATGTAAAACAAAAATTTATAAAGTTGAATTTAAAAATATACAAATTTACTTTCTTTTTTTTTAATGTTTTAACTAAAATTTTCTTTTTTTTTCAAAATATTTAATAAAAAAGTCAGTTTTACGTTTTATATCGTTTTATATAAAAATAAAAAAAAAAAAAATTTAATAATACATAAATTATTTGGAATTTACATATTTTTTTTACTCTTTTTTAGGCGTTATGCACAAGAAATTTTATGTAAATTTCTGAAAAAATTCAAAAAATTCAGTGTCAACTTTGAAAACATTTTATGTCAACTTTGTTTATGTACATAAATATTTGTCATATTTGTGTATGTACATAAATAAAGTTGACAAATGTAAAATGGATATTGCACCACTGATCTCAAAATTTAACTGGACTAATACGGCTAATGATCTATAATACTTAGATATCTAACTCGAGCCGCGTTAGTGAGGCAAATTTGTTTATTGGAAACCAAAAAAAACTGGCAAAAAACGCAAAAAAGATTTTTAAAGATTATTTGATTTTACTTTTGTTACTCAAAAAATACATCATTGTATACGGCAAGTTTTTTAAAGCCAGTTTTTTTTTTGGCCTCCTAAGCTGGCGATTTGGTTGATTAAAAATTAGGAAATTTTCGTTACGAGCGTCAACTCATCTTTCTATATATAAATATTATTGAAAGTACAAGCCTCAAATACAAATACAGTTTTCATAATATTGATTTTTGAAAGCAGTATTAGATATTTACGCAAATTTCTAAAACAATATAATTTTTTTTAATGTTACTTCCTTATAGCCGAAAAGGCCACTACAATCGAGAAGGCTACTTTTATTGTGGTTAAAGCCCTCCTTCAACTCTATAACTCCAAAAACACGAATCTTGACAAACAAGGCCGCGGCGCGGAGGAACAATTAGAGCGCCGTACTACCAGGGACGTGGTGGGGATCAAACTCGAAACTTCTTGCTTAGAATGGCAAGCGCTTTACCACTACAACACTATCTCCTTTTAACGTTTGACAAAGTATACTCTTAACAAAAGATTTGTTTAATGTCTTTTTTTTGTTGTCGTTTTTTAAAATAAATATAATTAGGTAAGATATAAATTTTTAGTAAAATTAATAAAAAATTAGTTCTTTTAATAGTAATAAAAAAAAAATAAGAATCATTAGTAGTTATCCATATTAACGATTTCCAACCAGCTTTCAAATAATATGTAATATAATAGAAAGCTGTAGTAGTTCGAAAACTACGGGTGAAGTTAATAGTAATTAATTTCACTTTGACAGCATATACATTGTTTAGTTTTGCTAGGTAATTAAATTACATTTAAGTTACAAATCATATAGCTCTAAATATTTTTTAATGCGAGTTTTGAATAAGTTCAATCTTTCGCTTTTGATGATAAAATCTGGTAGTTTGTTCCATACTGATGAGACTCTATTGGTTAAGAATTGATGACGAAGATTGCAGCTTTTAACAATTTCTCTTCTGATTTTGAAATTATGGTCCTTTGTGTTGGGCTGGTACGAGGCAAAAACATTACTATCTAATTCTATATTATTTTTTTAAGTAGTTTGTACATTTGAATTAAGTCACCTCTTTTACGTCTTTTTTTCCTGTGTGGTTAAGCCAAGTATTTTAATTCTTGTTTCATTACTTTGTTTTCGAATCTGAAGTATTCATTTAGTGTTACAACTTTAACGTTTTTCAAGTGCAATAATACCACTTTTAAGGTATGATTTGTATTCTTGTATCGCAAATTCAAAATAGGGTCTTATAAATATCACATATAGTATCTTAAACGTTTTTTTGTTGATGTAATAAAATATTTGCAATTGAATAAGCTTTCCATGTACAATTGGTTATGTTTCTTTTCCATTTGAAATTTTATGATATTTTTATTATTAAATTGTAATTGCCAGATCTCTGACCATTTGGAGGCTAGGTTAGTTTTATTCTAAAGCAATTGACCATTCTCGGAGTTGCTACTTTCCTAATTAACTTGGTGTCATCAACATTGGTTAAATAGTAGCTAATCCTGTTGTATATGACATTTTATATACCATATGATTTTACTTTGGATAATAATCGCTCATGCGGTACTGTGTCAAATACTTTAGTAAAGTTAGGATAACAAATATCTACTAGAATGTTTTCCGCTAGTGATTTACACAAAAGATTAAATGTTTCAATTAGATTTGTTAAACTAGATTCTGCCTTTACAAATCCGTGTTGATGTTTATTTAATAGACCATTATTTGACATATATTTATAAACTGTGTCGAATATAATACTTTTGAGTACTTTAGAGAATATTGAGGTTAATGAAACTGGTCTGTAGTTGTTAGCAATCAACCTGTTTCATTTTTTGAATATTGGAGTAATGTCTGCCAATTTCCATTTAATTGATACTTTTCCGGTTTTGAGCAGTTTTTCAAAAATCATATCAAGTGGTACTGCATGCACGTCGTTTTAGTACCATTAATTTTACCATGTCTGGTTTTAGAGATTTATAATCATTTAACTGAAGAAGTTTTTCTTTAATTAATTTCATAGTTATTTTATTATCTATTATTGCGTCACAAGGGTAAGATAAAAAGTAATTTTTTAGAATCGGTAAATTATTGGTATTTTCTCTGGTAAAGACTTATTTAAAGTGATCATTCATAATATTTACTATTTGGTTAAATTCTTTAATTAGTTCATTATTAGATGTTAAAGCTCGGATGGTATTTTTTAAATTATTTTTGCTGTTAATATATTTGAATAGTAGTTTTGGATTATCGACTATCGTTTTTCGAATATAAATTTAACCATCGTGACCATTTGATACGTAATTAAATCTTTAAATTCTCATATGATCCAGGGAGATCTATTGGCATTATGAGTTCTATTTTGTTGTGGTATAAAAGATTCTATGATATTTATAAATTAGTACAAATTTATTATACTTTTTGTCTACAGTTCAATTCTTAA